AGGGTCTCAGATGGCTGCTGAAAAGTGCTTTAAGAGGAGCTCAGCTGTTTGGCATTAAAGTCTCAAGGCTTTCAGAAAACAAGCTTTTCCAGTGGGTAAAATAAAGCCACAGTGCTTGTGTGTGGGTGTTTGAGGAGTGTCTTTATAGTCACACAAATCCTAAACCTGAAACCCAGTAATGAAAACATTGTACACAAATAAACATGAAAAAATAAGTGTATGGCCACCTGAATGAGAGGCAGATGATGCATCAGAGGAAATTACTTCATAAGTATAATCAAATGGAACTCCCACACAGTCGTGCTTACTGCTGAAATATTTATTAAATTATAACGTTTCAGTCTGCCCGTCCTAGATTGTAGGTAGATTGATACCATATTAGCATTCTCTTTTATACACACACACACAGACACACACACGCAGGAGCTAATCAATTATTATTATTATTATTATTATTACATTATCCAATCAGAAAAGCAGATGACTCAGTGATTCAATAAACACTTTAGCAGTAAAGGAGACGGCGTATAAAATTAAACATCAACAGTAGGAAAAAAGTGTGATGTCGTGGTGTGAAGGTGGGAGATATTGGAGGACTTCCTGCTTTTAACACAAACTTCAGTGGACACTTTAAAGACCGAACGAGACAAAGACACAGCAGTTGCTCTTTTAGAGATGCTTGTCTCATTTCATGCACCGGAGAACGAAAGAAGAGGAACAGCTGTGCTGCTTGCTGAGCATTAAATGCAACACAATAACTGTTATTGGATAGTCCAAAGGAACAGACAAACCACTGAATAAGAATTTGGTAAACATTAGGAAAGTATCAGCACTGACTAGTTTTGACCTTCAACTGGTGATCACGTAAAGTAAAAGGGGGGGTGCAGTGGTATCTTTGTGTAGGCCATTTCATCCACATACAGTACTTGGACAGCACAGACAGGAGGAAGGAGAAGACGTTAACTTTGCAGAGCCTGGAGGACACACAGACACAAGGAGACAGAATGAGAGAGTGGAGGCAGCAGTGGTAGTTTTACAGATATCCCTATCATTACATGGACAGCCTAAGTAAACACAGAGAGGAATACAGCACTGTGACCCGAGCTGTACCCACACTGTGCTGCTTTTGGATCATTGCTTGTTTCATGTTGCACAGACAGCGTTGTGCGGATGTCGCTGTCACTGTTGGGGAAACGTGTGGTTTTGTTTTTTATGTACAGCATGTCCTCCTACATATTCAAGACCTGGAGAAATATGGTTTAATCTTTTTTAGAAATCAGAAAATAGCTTCACTAAAAGAATACAGGTTTTGAATTCAAAGGTAGGCCAGCGCAGTCTTTATTTAAACATGTAGCGCGCGTACGTGTGCACAATCTCACATTTCTATTTGTGCACTCGCTAGGACCATTTTCCCTAATTTTCCCAGTAAATCTGCAGTGACCTCCATTGCTCAGCAGATCAATAATGTTCCATCTTTCCATCACCTTGACTAACTATCAATAGATTACCAGACCAGAAAATCTGCAAGTGCAAAAGAGCCAAATGGGGACACATGAGGTCCAGCTGGCAGTCTGACTATAGCAAAATATACTTATTGCAACAAGCCCAGTGAAATGCCCTGTGTTGTGTTACATAACGCTCCAAGAGTATTTGTCTTTTGCCTCGCAGTGACAGTATGAGAGCAGTTTCTATCTGTGCTTCAGTTCAGATCATTCCACGGCAGTTTCAGCTTGCAGAGTTCACCATATCTGCATTTCACAATCACACATTTGCCTCAGCTGTAAAACCAGATGGGACAGAAACCATTTTAGCTTGAGCCAAATGTGACTGCTGTGAAAACAAAGTCTTTCCTCACCAAAACTAAATTAAAGGCCAAAATTAGTCCCTCGGTGTGACATATTTGAGACAAGAACACCAAGCTAGAATCAGCTAGAATAGAATAGTTAGTAAATTCCTTACATTTTGTGGGTGGGACACCAAAAAGGAAAGACTGAATTGTGTTTATTGTGTGCTACGTTGATTTTCTCTTCCACGGATGTTACATTGCAGGTTTCAACATAAATACTTTATAAGTTAAATTTGAGCTAAAACAGTTAACTTGACAGAAAGTAGTCAAAAGTAATTTGGTAAGGGATAAATTTGTTTAGTTTGGTAGCAACAATACTTCTACTTCTCAGGTGTAGTGATTTTTTTTGTAGCTGGACTATCAGCATCTATAAAACAATTCATTAAAGGCCCACATTTAACTCACTAAAAACATCGCTGTCACGGCTGCACAGCAGTCGTGTGGTGAATTGAGAAAATGATCCAAGATGCAGGCACTGACTGGGGTGCGAGTGAATGTTTATTTGCAGAGGTGATAAGGTGACAAAAACAGGAGGAGCAGAGCGGGGAGTAAACCAACCTAAACTGGGGAAAACTAAAGAACTCAACTTAAACCAAACACGCACGGGAAGAGGAACAAAATGCACAATGAAAGATGGCGGCAAGACGCAGCACAAACACCGGGTTACACAGAACGATGCAGACAGACATGGCGTTAAACAGACAACACAACAGAGAGCTCAGGAAAACACAGGGCTTAAATACACGGGGAGTAATCAGGGAATGGGCCACAGGAGGGAGACACAGCTGGGAGCAATTAGGCTAACGAGACAGGGGAGCGGTAAAACCGAACACACTGACATGAGACATGAACTTTCAGAATAAAACAGGAAACTAACAGACACAGAGAACCAGACAGGACACTGAACTTGACAGGCAGACTCATGAGCAGACACAATAACACCATGGACAGACAGAGGGAACACAGGCAGGCATGAAACAAAAACACTAACACATAGCAAACCTAAACAAAAGACAAAACAGAATAACCGAGAACAAAGAATAATATAAAGAAACACAATACACCGAGTCCTCAGACTCAGGACCATGACAATCGCAAGAAG